GACTCATGTAAGTTTTTGCTGGCATCATCATTCAGTATGTTTGCCTTATCTGCACTAAACACTTACTGTGGTTCATAGCCACCCTCAAAAATAATTTCCTGCAATATTATTAATATTATTATTATTATTATTATTATTATTATTATTATTAACACTTCGGCCATTTCACACTGAGGCTGGGTGGCCTGAAAAAGGAAATTTCATTAGTGAAATTACCTGCTGCTGTATGAACAAACTGAAGCACTTTCACCAGAAAACTTAATATTATATAACCTTTTACATTACTTGAGTGTGTGGAACCAGCCTGTAGCAAACACACACACTTGTTCAGGCCATCCTTTGCCATCACACAGTTTTATAATACTCGTAGGTATTTTTTTATTACATTTTTTTTTTTATTATTATCACACTGGCCGATTCCCACCAAGGCAGGGTGGCCCGAAAAAGAAAAACTTTCACCATCATTCACTCCATCACTGTCTTGCCAAAAGGGTGCTTTACACTACAGTTTTTAAACTGCAACATTAACACCCCTCCTTCAGAGTGCAGGCACTGTACTTCCCATCTCTAGGACTCAAGTCCGGCCTGCTGGTTTCCCTGCACCCCTTCATAAATGTTACTTTGCTCACACTCCAACAGCACATCAAGTATTAAAAACCATTTGTCTCCATTCACTCCTATCAAACACGCTCACGCATGCCTGCTGGAAGTCCAAGCCCCTCGCACACAAAACCTCCTTTACCCCCTCCCTCCAACCTTTCCTAGGCCGACCCTACCCCGAATTCCACTACAGACTGATACACTCTTGAAGTCATTCTGTTTCGCTCCATTCTCTCTACATGTCCGAACCACCTCAACAACCCTTCCTCAGCCCTCTGGACAACAGTTTTGGTAATCCCGCACCTCCTCCTAACTTCCAAACTACGAATTCTCTGCATTATATTCACACCACACATTGCCCTCAGACATGACATCTCCACTGCCTCCAGCCTTCTCCTCGCTGCAACATTCATCACCCATGCTTCACACCCATATAAGAGCGTTGGTAAAACTATACTCTCATACATTCCCCTCTTTGCCTCCAAGGACAAAGTTCTTTGTCTCCACAGACTCCAAAGTGCACCACTCACCCTTTTCCCCTCATCAATTCTATGATTCACCTCATCTTTCATAGACCCATCCGCTGACACGTCCACTCCCAAATATCTGAATACATTCACCTCCTCCATACTCTCTCCCTCCAATCTGATATCCAATCTTTCATCACCTAATCTTTTTGTTATCCTCATAACCTTACTCTTTTTGTTACATGTTAAGATGAAATTAGGTGGTGCACTTTTTTTTTTTTCTCGGCCCACTACCTGCCTGGAGGATATTCTGGGGGTTAACGCCCCCTCAGCCCAATCCATGACCAAGCCTCAGTCAATAAGTTTTCTGTCTTATTTTGCTGTTGTGACCTGTCATTCTTTTTAGGGGGTGACAACTTGGGTTATTTATTGCACATACAGTAGGACCTGCCTTACGGCGTTTTGCTTTACGACGTTCTGCTAATATGGACATTTCAAATTATGACAAACACATTATACAGCTCCTCCCACCTGTCTTTCTAATACGGTCATTGCGCCCCACATGGTTTGTTTACATTCTCCGTGAGCACATCTCTTTATTACATCTGGAAACTTTCCAAAATTTCGAATGTTTTAAGGTTATTGCATATTTTATATGTACTCTGATATTATACTAATGTGTATTTGTACCTAAATATACTTACACACTGTGCTGGCATGCAGGTACACATTAAAATCACTAAGAGTCTCTCTACTCTTGAAGATGCCATAATAACAATAATAATCTTGGGTGCATTAAATGTCTCATATTACGTTAATATAGACATTTCCATTAATCCATCTGTGATATTTTTTTTCAAAATTGTATAAGAAACATGTTACATAACACACAAACATGATACATACACCCACCAAGCGGCTTGTAGGAGTGTCGTAAGAATTACGTTTTCTCTAGTCCAACACCAGCTACTGGGGATAACTGTAGAAAGATATTCCTTTCGTATGCCTTCACTCTATAGCTATTCACGACCCTTGTGGGTTTAGTGCTTTTTTTATGATAATATCATCATTCACTCAAAATGATGTGTTGCATGAGAATGGGAGTGTTGCTGTTTATTTATTCTTATGTAGTACTAACTTGTACACAATGTAAGAGTATTTGGATTATGAGGTAATTATTATTATAATAAAAAAGAAATATTGTGGTAAAAGTTTCACAAACTCTTACAAACGTACATGAATGAACTAAAATTTGACACACATTAATATGCGTTTATTTTGCCTGATCGAGTGATCGCCCACCACCCATTCAATTTGTTTTTTTACATTGAACTCCATGTATCTCATTCTTTCTCATTTACTATTTTGTTAACTGGTTGGCACTCGGTGACGATGGCGTCTAAGCTTAGTTGTGATTAAAAGAAGAGTGTTAAGCCTCTTACTTTAACCCTTAAACGGTCCAAAGAGATTGACGTTCAAATTCGTAGTGCTACAAAAGTAGATATACTTTTTTTTACCTATTTTCAAATATAACAAAAAAAAAATGTAGATAAAAGTTTTTTTTTACGTTTTCAAATGTAAAACAAAAAAGATCTACATTTTTTTACATACTTTCAGATGTTGAAAAAACATATATATACATTTGGACCATTTAAGGGTTAAGTGCCAAGTTAGAAATGATTAAACTTAATGAATTGACTTTTTTGGGTTATCCTAGATTCTCTACACACATGTATGATAATCTACGTAACCGTATTTGTGTATACAGTGTACCTGAATAAACTTACTAACAAGGTATGTCAGTGGCTGAGATAGCCATCAAATACAGTTACATATAGCAGCATATGTGTAGAGAACCTAGGATAACCCCAAAAAAGTCAGTGACATTGCTGACATGGAAAAACTTTCATACTGCCACTCACCTCTCACACATTCATATTAATATTTTAAGGTAAGTAACAAGTGTACTGTGTGTGTATTTTACTTTGTGTTTTTTAATGCCTAGTTCAATTGCTAACTTAATGTATGTTAGTGTAAACCTGTTATCTAGCATTTATATGCATTTATAAGTGGAAAATAAGGGTGTTCCACTTTATGGCGATTTCCGCTTTACGGCAGTAGCCTGGAGCCTAACCTTTTGTATAAGTGGGGCCCTACTGTACCTATATATTTGCCTCATTCCTTTTAAATGAATGAACTGATGCTTCATCAAGGTCGTAAGCTCTCCTCTTCCCCACGTGCACCACTTTTAAACTTATCTAATTTCTCAGTTTTCTTCATAACACCATTACTCTAGCATTACTCTCATTCCTATTGGGGGCCATGTTTACTTTGGAGACAAGATGTGATGGTAAAAAGAAATCAGTTCACAAGCGCAGAGCTGAGAATGGTATGAAACGTGTATGTACGGTGCACTGAGACATGGAAGTGGGATAGGGGAGGTGGGGGAGGATATAGGCCTCCTCCTCCATAAAGACAATAACCTAACCCACAGGCTGGCTGCCCACGAGTCCATGAGATGAAGGGAAAAGTTTCCACAGTCCAGCCCTGCAGTGCCCCAGATTTTGTTCCCTAAAGTCGCGCGATCATATATGATTGAAAAATGCCACAATTTTACAGTTGTCATGCATCGAAAACATCATAGAAGATTGTGTCTTAATCAGTAGTCTATGCTATATAATGATGGTTTTCCATATAATGCTGGATCAGCTAAACATGGTGCTGAGGTTTGAGTGGTTTGTTTCTAGGGGTACTGGTTGCTTTTCTTGCTCCCCACAGAGTGCTTAACTAAGAACCCAACATCTCTGCATAAATGGCAGGGATACTGTTTCTGTCATCTAAATTTGCTGACACTGCTTATGACACAATATGGATAGATTACATAATGTAAAAAAAAAAAAGTGGATTTTGAGAAGTTATTTGCTTTGTAATTGTTTATATAAAAGTGAATTGGTCATGAAAGTAGTACATTAATAAAGTGGATAATGTTACAAATGGAATTTTTAAAGTGCTGAATATCCTACAGGTTCTAGTGCTTTATAAATAAAATAACCTAATAATGGTTTCTGTTAGGTTTTCAAACACCATTGCCAAACTAATAGTGAAGCTGGTTTGGTATTGTGTTTTGCCTATTTTATTTAATACTGAAATTACATTTGCTAATTTCCAGATATGTTTAGTTTTTTATCTTCTAGTGATTTGCTAAATTTCATTGTTAATGTGTATAGTACATCACCACCTAAAAAATAGAGAGCATGAAGGATATTGAGAGGCAAGAGGACTTGAGCATCCAGCAGCATATTAGATTGGAGTGGTTTCTCTAAGGAATTTGACATGTTGGAGTGTGGTGGAGCATAGTATCTATGTAGAACTCTTGGAAACACTGTTGCTGTGCTTAAGTTTCGGATAATGGGAGGTACACTGATTGCATTCATGAAAGTGTAGTAGAGCTGTTGTAGTTGAGTGAGTTAGCATTGGGCTGTGATGTCTGTGACATTCCATGGAGAAGTTAGAGATCGAGTGATACTGTAGTAAATATATTTTCTCTTTGGTTTGCTTTGCCTCATTGGGAAATGGTTAAAATTGAATAAAAATGTAATGCCCCTGTCAAGATGAGACCTAAAAATTATGAGTGACTCTTTCTTGTATTAATGCATGTATCCAATTGAAATTTTTTAGATTATCCATAACCTACCCAGCTTCTCCAGTTGTACTTAGCTTAGATGTATTCTGTAACCTTCATTAAAATTTTTCTAAAGTTGCCCTGCTTTGGATCAAACCTACTTGCCTCCCATTTCCCAGGTGCTGTATGACCCTTGTGAGTTAGCAATTTCCAATAAATATACTGATAATGGTGTACAGTATTTCTATAAGCCTGATTTATAGAAACGGTTTGATGCATTCCTTGTTTAAATTAAGTATATTTTTCAACAGGTCTGGTTGCTATTGGTAGAAGCCTTGGTCTGAAACTACTGCCTCCAAGAAAAAAGATTAATGTTATGTTAATGGGCAATCACTCTGCTGGAAAGAGCTCCTTTGTCAACTGGTAAGTGTTAGATAGCTCATTATTTTTCTTCTGTGGAACAGTGGTAGTGTTTTTTGTATTGGACTTGTGATTCACTTGTTCTAAGATTGAATCTTATTTTGATGGTGTTAGTTTTTTTTTTTTTTTTTTTATCTCTTCTGGTTTGTTGTGAAAGTACAATCTGTTCGCTAATATTGAGTCAAACAAGGGGATATACTGTACAGTATCACTTGGGAATCTTGATTCCAGTCCAAAAAGGGGGTCAGCCTGTAAAATAATTTCTAGGCAATGCCCTAGGAATATATTTTCTTAGTAGGGATCTAATCCACTGAAAAAGAAATGATACAAAAATACTTCTAAATTATGAGTAAAGTTTTCACTGATTTATGGTGTTAGCTAAATCGTAGGAACAAGTTTAAGGTGACATTTTCTGAGCTGAACCATTAAAACATTATAAAAATAAGTGAAAATAATAGAAAATGAATGTTCATCACTACTTTTTATTGCCAAGAAAGCTGGGTAATGTCAGAGGTCACAATACTCTTCAGATCTCAACATCCTTGTTGCTCTTAAAGTATGACATTGGTAAAGCTAGTGATTTCAGTTTTGTAGGTTGATGGATGGTACTTATACAACAAGGGTGTTTGTCCCTGGAACATAACAGTATTGTATAATGTAATATGAACACAACTTAATATTCTCACACACTTGGGCGCATGCACTGATTCATGTAAAGATAGAAGATATATTTAACTCAGCCTCATACCCCTGGTAATAATATTACAAAACAAATACTTATGTTTTGCCACATGTGACTTCACTTGGAAATTTCTGCTCATATTAAATAATATTTCACTTCCATCATGAATAGCAAATGATGATTGATAGGAGATAATGTTGGTTCTCTAATTAAGTAACGTATCTCCTCTCGTATATATACCAAGTTTTATGGTCTTAAATGCCTTTGAATATTTGCCTGGAAGTGAGGTTCTTGTTTGGCAGTACAACTCTAAAAAAAAAAAAACTGATATTAAAGCTTGTTTGCAATTGGTGGCTGTTAAGAGATTATTTTGAGGTTGTAGTGGACTAATTCACAATATAGAACTACTAACATAATCCTTTGAGTACAGGAACACATCAACAGAAGGTGCACAATTTATTTTGGGATGTAATAAAAAGTTAAGGTGTGAGTTCGATGGTAGCCAAGTCTGAGTGGCCAGAGTGAGAGAGCTGATAAAGATGGCACTGCTACTTTCAGAAATACTGTATTTAGTTGGGTATTAGTGAAGAGAGTAGCTGTACACCTGGGTTTATTAGAAGAAATTACCAGAAAGACAATCTTGGCAATCTTGGTACTTTGTGTGTTGTCTTCCTGGATCTGCCAGTATAGGAACAAACTAATTCAAATGAAAATGGTGAAACAGTAGATGACTTTTGCTTATTTTTGCCTTGCACTGAGGCCCTCTTCAGCAGACTGAAATATGCCAATGAGATCTCCATCTTCAGTGTGATCCTGAAATATACAGTACTCATCTTCTGTTTTATTGTCTTCTCCTGGACTTGTTTGTGCTACTGACAAGTTTTTATTACACTTTTATGTTTGGAGTCTAGTGGTTTCTTTCCAGAAAACATGACTTTGTTGATTTTGCCAGTGAGTCAAAAGATGATGGTTTGTTTAAGAGTTATGTACAGTATTGCACAAATACATTGCATTACCATTTTGTTACAACTCAGCAGTTAAACAAATAGTCCACATCAGCCAGCAATATAGGATTTCTGGAAAAGATATAACATAACAGCTATTAACATTATCACTCATTTGTGGAAAGAAGTCACATCTGCCACAGTGAGTGGTGCTTCAGAAGGTGGACAGAAGGTCCAAAACTTCAGTCCATTAAGCACAATTCCAGAAATAAAGAGCTTGGACAACATTGAGGAGGAGGGGGTTTGGATGAATTATGAACAATTATAATGCTTGATCAAGAGTGATTTATACAGCATTTTAAGGTGATAAAAGTCATCCTGCTCCAAAAAATAATTATAAGGTTTTCATCTTACAAGCAAGATGTATTCCTGGTTTTTCAACTTAAAATGAATTGTTTGTATAGAAAACAAAATCACAGAGGATGGTTGTTTCACACTTTTCTGTAGCATATCTGGGCAGTTGTAAATCTTTAATTGGTTCCTAAATTTTCTATTTGTGTGGATGTGTGTAACTTGAGGCATTTTTTAAATTAAAGTGCTCCTGTATATCCCAAAACTAATAGTAAAACCCTCTACAAGTGACTTGATCAGATGCTTTGTTAGATGAAGAGATGAGCAACACTGTGACCTCCCACCCACTAACACAACTGGCTTGCCATGGGTTTGAACCCTCTGTTTGGCGAGTAGTTCAACACAACTTCTTAGATGAACATAAAAAACTATTTGTCTCCACTCCAATCTAACAGGCTCACATATGCCTGATGTATGCTCAAGCCTCTACAAAATCACCTGAAGCCTTCCTCACAACCCTTCTTCCAACCTTTTCTGGGACATCCCCTGCACTTTTCATCAACCCCTAAATGTGTACACCCTTATGGTAACTCATCTTGCTTACCTTTGAACTGACCAAACCATCTCAACAATCCTTCTTCCACTTTCTGAATATGATAATACCTTTCTTTCCACTACATAATTTTCAAATTTTCCCATGCTTCTAATTTCCATGCTCGGAATTTTTCATAACATTCATGCCACACATTGCCCTCAAATATGACATCTTCACTTCCTCCAGCCTCCTCTTTGCTAAAATATTTAAAGCCATACTTCACGTCCATATAATAGTGTTGGTACCACTATACTCTGGTACATTCCCCTTTTTTACCCTCTGTGGATGAAATTCTTCTCCACACGCCTCATTGAACTACCCAACTTTTTTTTTTATCCATGTCTATACCATGGTTCACCTCATCTTTCACAAACTCATCTACCAACATTTCCACTCAAAAATACTTGAGTACTGTACATTAATCTCCTCTGTACTACTGCTCACCAATCTCATATCCAATCTTTCATTGCCTAGATTTTATTTTCATCACCTTGCTCATTTCTGTGTTCATTCTCAATTTCTTTTTTGCATACTCCCAGATCTCTCCACCAATCTTCTCTTACCCTCTTCTTTATGAATGAACTGATAAATTACTGATAATTCAGTGATTTATTCCTGCCTGATTTTGGCTTCTCTTTTTTTATATTCTGTCAGCTGGTGTTTTTCCCACATAGGACTTTGCTGCTCTGCTTGCTCCTTTCATACACCAGACTCACCACTCATTCTAACAATGCTCATCCCATTTTTGCTTCAATCCAGATGTCACTGCCTCCTTCTCATCATCTATATTTAAAAAAAGGCGGGGTAGGGGTCGTCCTCGAAAAGGTTGGAAGGAAGGGGTAAGGGAGGTTTTATGGGCGAGGGGCTTGGATTTCCAGCAGGCGTGCATGAGCGTGTTCGATAGGAGTGAATGGAGACGAATGGTATTTGGGACCTGACGATCTGTTGGAGTGTGAGCAGGGTAATATTTAGTGATGGGATTCAGGGAAACCGGTTATTTTTATATAGCTGGACTTGAGTCCTGGAAATGGGAAGTACAATGCCTGCACTCTGAAGGAGGGGTTTCAGGATATTAGCAGTTTGGAGGGATATGTTGTGTATCTTTATACGTATATGCTTCTAAACTGTTGTGTTCTGAGCACCTCTGCAAAAACAGTGATTATGTGAGTGAGGTGAAAGTGTTGAATGATGAAAGTATTTTTCTTTGTGGGGATTTTTTCTTTTTTGGGTCACTCTACCTCGGTGGGAGACGGCCGACTTGTTGAAAAAAAAAAATATATATATATATACAGGAGGGCCCCACTTTACGGCGTTTCGCTTTACGGCGTTCCGCTAATACGGACATTTCAAATTATGACCAAAACTCGCTATACGGCTCCCCCCACCTGTCTTTCTAATAAGGTCACAGCGGCCCACCGAGTTTGTTTACATTCTCCCTGAGCACATCTCCTTATTATGTCTGGAAACTTTCCAAAATTTCAAGTGTTTTAAAGTTATTTTATATTTTATATGTATTGTACTTGATAATTAAACTTGTGTACACCTGTACCTAAATAAACTTACACACTGTGCTGGCATGTAGGTACACATTAAAATCACTAAGAGTCTCTCTACTCTTGATGCAATAATAATAATAATAATAATAATATAATAATAATAATAATAGTAATAATAATAGTAATAATAGTAATAATAATAATCTCTTGGGCGCATTAATGTCGCATATTACGTTAATATAGACATTTCCCTTAATCTATCTATGATATTTTTTTCAAAATTATATAAGAAACACATTATGTAACACACAAACATGATACATGCACCCACAGTATAAAAAATTTATACAAATATATACGAGATGTTTACCAAACGGTTTGTAGAAGTGTCGGAAGAATTACGTTTTCTCTAGCCCGTCACCTGTTACTAGGGATAACTGTAGAAAAATATTCCTTTCGTTTTGCCTTCACTTTATAGCTATAATTCTGTACTAACTTGTACACCAGTGTAAGAGTATTTGTTTTGTGATTTAATTATTATAATAATAATAAAAATATTATAAGGTAAAAGTTTCACAAACTCTTACAAATGTACATGAATGAACTAAAAACTGGACACGTATTAATACCGTCTATTTCGCCTGACCGAGTGATCGTCCACAACCTGTTCAGTTTTTTTTACGCTGTCTGAGCTCGGTGTATCATTAAATGTTGTATATTACGTTAATATACACATTTTCATTAATCCATCCGTGATATTTTTTTTCAAAATTATATAATAAACACGATACATAACATAAATACATAACATATGTGTAGAGAACCTAGGATAACCCAAAAAAGTCAGAGTGACTTACTTCCATTGCCTTCACTCAGAGCATCATTTCTTCTCAAAATGATGTTACATGAGAATGGGAGTGTTTCTTTATTTATTC